AAAAAAATCACACAAACATCGATGAAGTTCGATTTCTAAAAGACGGGGTTGTAACCATACATATATGGGACTTGCCCCTTAATGGTACTACAATGATCCACTACTCTTAGGTAAACTTCAATCTACAATACGTCATTCAATAAGGCCAATATTAGTACTAAATTTTATAACTTATGTCATTTAGGCCTATTATCAAATTGTAGGCATAGATATTTACACCTCATAACTATAGTATTGGTTCTTCCAACTATTACCATTAACCAACAATTCATCTCACCATCATTCCTAACCAATTTATAACTTTCAACTACACATGTATGACCATCCATTCATACCCAACCAACAAAATTCCATCAATTAAACACCTTTAAATCCCTACCATGTTCATGTATTTAAATTGGGAATTTATGGCCTCCAATCAACATACCATAAGTTGTAATACATGATTCATACTCATAATTCCATATTAACTCCATATATGTAAGTCTAAGGTGTAGGATTACCTCTTGTAGACCAAATCTTGAAAGTCAACTTTGGGGTGTTCTTGAGATTTTGAAGAAATCCTATGAAATCCAATCAAAATCATATTGTAACTAGTGATTGTGAAGTGAAATCACCATGAAAACACACTTAAAAGCTTGACTTAGGAGTGCAATTGGTGCCTTGGTCGAGTTGGGATGTAGAGGAAGCCCTAAGCTTGAGAAATGACTCAATTCCTCTCATTTCCGGTCTTTAGAGTACTTAAAAAACCTCCAGTCGCGCGAGTTTGCGCGTTGTTCGCGCGTTTTTGCTGAGCATTCTGCCTCAGACGCGCGAAACGCGCGACTTCGCGCGATACTTCGCGCGCTCTGACACCTGACCAGTGAAATGGTCATAACGTCCTGAATACACTTCCATATGACGAACGGTTTGTTGCGTTGGAAACTAGACTCAAAGGGCTTTAATTTGATAGGTTCTAGCTCACACAACTCCTTATATAACTAGAGATATTATCGTTCAAAGTGAGGCCTTGTGCGCACTCATTTACAACTTTCGTCTATTATGAAATTTCCAACTTCAAAAGTTCCCGTTAGCCATCCGAAATCATCCCGAGGTCCCCGGGACCTCAACCAAAAGCACGAACATATCTTAAAACATTATTGAAACTTATTCCAATCATAAAAACATCTCAACAACATCAAAACCATCAAGTTACATTGAATTCACGCCTAAGTTCTTCCAAAACTTCAAAAATACG